GACTTCACACTTGCAGATAAGAGCTGGTGAGCCTGCATTCCCAGTCCCCTCTCTCCTGGCATCCTGCTAAAGAGTGTTTCTTGCAGGTAGAAGGAGGGCATACAGGCATGTGCCTTCTTGTGACAGTAAGGGACAGATCTTGATTTTTATTTGACATTATATTATTAAAATGATGCTCTCTCTTTGAAATAAATAAAAGAAATGCTAAAAAAAATGTGCATTCCCTACACCCTCCCCACAACCCTACCTGTTTTCCATCAGTCCATTGGGAATCCTATCTATTTTTGTGCATTTACACACATACATATGTACATACTTGTAAACAAGGAACACCCTACAGTTGTTTTGGTAGGTTGTTTATGTACTTATTTTCACAAATGGGGTCATACTGGACATTATTGTTGCCCCTTCCCTTTGCTTTTTTACCACCTCTATCTGGTCTTCTAATTCAGAACTGCTAGACCCACTAGATCTCTGTAAAGGGGGTGCAGTGTCCTCCAGGGAGAGGGTGAAGGGGGAGGAGGGGAGGACATGGACATCTTTATAGGGACATCTCTGAACCCCTAGGAGAAGAGCTCTGAATTTTAAGAAAGGATCACAAAATGGAGGATAACCACATAACCACACTCTTAATTATAGGGTGGTTATCCCCTCCCCAAATTCTCTCTTCTTGGGACACTGGAACCATTTTTTTTAGGGGAGAGCCTTCTAAGGTCACTTCTAAGGAAGGCTTCCTCCATTATTTAAGTTTCAGATCCAGCTCCAGTTCTGATATAAGCCCGGGGAGTGACCCTAACAGAGAAAAGACATCCTTGGGGGACAGCAAGGAATAGGGTGGAGGAGGACTAGGGCATCCTGCTGCTCCCCTGGGTGACAGAAGTAGTTTGGAATTGATGTCTGGTAGGAGCTCCTGATCTTTTTCTAGCGTTGACTGGTGAGCTGTCCCCCAAAGTACCTCCCTGTCTGTAGCGAGTACTGCTGGTGCCTTCCCAGACCCCTTTCTTGGACGACTGCACCCAACTCCTCAGCTGCTGGAATGTTGGCTGCTGATGGCTCATGGCTGCTCCTTCCCCCAGAGAACTGCCCTCAGACTGGAGGTGCCTGAGCATTTATACCCCATCCTCCTTTTCCCCCTCTCACGGTTGCCAGATAAAATACACAATGCTTGGTTAAATTTGAATTTCAAGTAAACAAAGTATAACTTTTTAGTGTAAGTATGTACATTCATTGTCTGAAATTCAAATTTAAGTGGGAGCCCTATATTTTTATTTGCTGAATCTGGCAAACCTGTCTGGCAGGCAATGACAGGGGACTATGAACTTACAGCTGGCAGGGTAAGAAAGCTTGGACCCTTGCCTCAAAGGCAAGCTTTCTGGTATTGTTTGTTCCAGGTCTCCCCTGGAACTCGGCTGGAGCTAGACTTCAGTTGAACCCACACCTTTGTTGAGCTTCTTTCCCTGCCCTATCGTACCTTGCTTCCCGCCCCCTCCCCATATGTTTCATATGAGAACTCTCCCCGATAAATCACTAACACAAAGATCTCTGCTTCAGGTTCTGTTTCTAGGGACTCTAACTCAAAGAACTACCTGCTTTTCAAAGTTTCCTATTTGGAGATGCTGCTCAGAATTGCGTCAAAGGAGCCGCTCCCAACTTATCACCTATGTGGGAGGGATGGAATACTGCCTTTGCACACACTGCTTTTCCATCGATGGGTGCCAGGGGGCGCTGAGCTCTGCCTTGGCAGCTCTTGATCAGAATTCACGCCTGGGTCCTTAAGATGACGTAACAGATTGCGTTACTTCCGCGCCAAGACCGTGCTCTTCCGGGGAGCTGGAGGGAGAAAAGCAAATGTAAACACACCCGGAGTTTCCCCGGCCTAGGCTCTGGCCTCTGAGTGGAGGGTCACAAAATCTGGCAGATTCTCGCAGGAAAAAGGAAGAGTCAGTGTAGGCGTCAAGCCAGGTCGATGGAGAGCGGGTAGGCGGAAGCCCATGGGAGAGCGGCCAGTCTTCGGGCGCGGGCTCAGTCGGCCGCACTGGTGACGCATGGACGCGCGCGCCAGGTGCGGATGCACTAGGCGGGAGCGACGGGGTGGATGGGCAGGCGGCGCGGGGCAGCCTGTGGTACAGACCCATCCCGGGTCTAGAACGCCGCGAGGAGGTGGGCACGAACCTCCCAGCTTTAGTACAACGTACCTATGGTCTCGGTCGCAGAGGGTCGCTGCTAGGATTGAGCCGGACCACACATGTGCAGAGCACGCTCCATGCACCTAGCGCAAGGTTGGCGCTAATAAGTGGCCGTTAGTCGGAAAAAAATAGGGGATTGGGTTTCTCTCTTTCTCTCTTTTTCTTTTAAATCATCGATTTATACCAAGAACTGTATATTGATCTTCCGCTGTTGTATACTGCACACTGTTTCAGGTTTTTGGGAAACTTTAGTGAACAAGACAGACAGATCCTTGCTTATCTTGGAGAAAGAATAATAAAGAGAGGAAGTGAGTTACATAATATTTGTTACGTGGTGGTAAGTGCTATGAACAAAGAAAAACAGAGCAAGGACAGAGGCATAGGGTGCTTGAAGTGTTAGATGGGATGGTCACTAGGCCGAATTGAGGAGTGAGATTTGTGCAAAGCTGTGAGGGTGGGGAGGGAGTGAGCCATGTAGCCACCTGGAGGAAAAGCATTCCCCAGCATGGGGAAAAGCTCAAGCAAAACCTAGAGGGGCAGCAGGACTGGTATGTGAGAAAGAGCTTTGAGGCCACTGTGGTGGAAGAGAGGGAGCAAAGGGGAGAATGATAGAAGGTGAGGTCAGAGGTGGGGGAGTAATGTGCAGTTCAGGTAGGACCATGCTAGGCTCTGTAAAGATTTTGGCTTTATTTGCTCTCGAGTGAAATGGGAGCTACTGCAGGTTTTTGAGCACAGGAGTGAGTGGTGTGAGTAGGTTTTAACAGGCTCAATTCTGACTCCTGTAGAGACTAGATTGGGGAGGAGGGCAGGGATGAGGCAAGGGCACACCTATTAGAAATAGATCAGTTAAAAAGCATCCCTGTAGCCATTAAAAAGTCTGATTTTTAAAGATGATGATGACAACCACTATAGGAGGACCCACATTTCCTGGTGAGCTCGGTATACAGCTATAAGGCTGTATAGAGCACTTTCCAGGCATCATCTTACTTTATTTCAGGACAGCCCTTAGAGGTCAGTGCTGTCATTGACACCATGGACTAAGGCCTATGGAGAGGTGACTGCTCAGTAAACATTTACTCTTTAAGTTTTACTGTTATTGGCATTCTAAACCCCAGGCCCATTCTCATTCCCTACTATGGTCAGGCATCTCTGTCAACGCGGTCTGTAAATGCTTAACAAACACCTGTTTTGTGCCAAGCAGTGCAGTAGGTGAGGTGCCCATTCCCTTTGATCATCTAGTCAGGGGAGACTAATGACTGGGAAAGAAGCATTAGGTAACTGTTGCTGTTGTTCTGAAACCAAAGACTCTTGAAATACAGACCTACCACTACCGTCATTCACTCATTCTGTCACAAGTGTTTGTTGAGTACCTATGTTGTGCCAGGCATAGTATATTTGAGTGTTTGTTAAATGGATGGATGGGCATAGTTCTTTGACCTTGACTTCTCTTTTTTCTCTGGAAATGATTATCTGAGAGTGATTGTAAGTGGGCCTGACCTGGAGGGGTTTTGTGACTGCTGGTCCATAAGGGTAAGGCTCTTGGTGGGCCTCAGTTTCCTGGTCTACAAAGTAGCAATTTCAGCCTAGATGATAACTAAGAGCCCTTCCAGTCCTTGGTATTTCACATGGTTGTAATTTTATTAATTCAATGTAAAGGGCAAAAACAGGTCTTGGGAAGGGAAGAACCAGTCTATTGTCTGTTTCCTTCACTCAGCAAACATTTGTTGAGATCTCGTGGTGCTGGTAAAACAGTGAAAAAGCAGGGTTGCTGTTCTCTGGGAGATGACATTTTTGTGGAGGAGCCAGGATTTAAACAGGCAATGTTAAGAGATTGAATAACCAGGGAACCCAATTCAGAACAGAGTGTCAGAGAAGGCTTCCCTAAAGAGAGGACATTTAAGCTAAAACTAAAAAGATGAGTATGAGTTATCCAGGTGGAGAGTAAGGTGGGAGTGGAGCCCAGAAGAGGGAGTCTCTCCAGGTAGACCAGCATGCCCAAGCCCTTGAAAGTTCTAAATTCATTACAAATGGCATTGAGTTACCATTCCAGGATCCCCTCTTCTCAAACCCCTTTCATGGGCCTGCCAAATAGCCCTTCACAGACTGGCCCTGGGGCAAACTGACTGAAAAAGCAGATGGACGCAGGATGGACAGGGGCAGCACAACTGGGACCCCTCATTCTGCTCTTTATTGTCTGTGTTGGCTGGGAGTAACAAGAAGAAGGTCTTCGGAGTCCCTGTTTTACCTCCTTATACTTTTATTTTAGACTAAGAGGCATTATATTAGAGTGGTCCTGAGAGGGCTCAGGAGTGGTTGGAATCTCTGCTTTTGGGCAAGTATTACCTAAGCTTCAGGTTCCCTTTCTCGAAATGAGAATGGTAATAGCTTTATCTTACCGGGTCATTTTGAAGGAAAATGAGCTAATAATTTAGCACAGAGTTGAGTGCTCAGTAAGCAAAAGTGTTACTAGGATTTAAGTCAGAGTACAGAGCTCTGGTAGTATAGTGCCTAAGGCACTTGACTGTTAACCAGAAGGCTGGCGTTCAAACCCACCAGCCACTCCTCGGAAGGAAAAGGGCAATCTACTTCCGTAGTGATACTGCCTCGGAAACCCAAGGAGGGGTCACTCTGAGTCCAACTCGACGGCACATAACAACAACAACACAGTGGTCTGATATCCTTAGTGTCTCTATGCATAGCCCTGTACTGGAAGGTCTTTTAAAAACCAAATAGGCCAAATTCTCACTGAAAAATGTGGAAAATAGCTCGTACCTTGATAATTTTTAGTTCTCTTGACTCTTATTGTAGGTGTGATCAGCAATGGAAAAGATACCAGTCTTACCTGCCACATATGAAAGAGTTGTTTACAAAAATCCATCTGAACACCACTATATGAAAGTCCGCCTGTAAGTGCAGTTTTCTAAGTTCTATTTAAGATTGACTTTTTGAGTCTGAAAATCATGAAATCTTATGTATTTTTTCTTTTCCTTTTTTTTTTTTTAACAGAGAATTTCAAGAACGTGGGATTGGACTGAATGCTGCACAGTTCAAACAGTTGCTTATTTCAGCTTTGAAAGACCTGTTTGGGGAGGTATGGAATGACTTTGTAGACTGACCAATCCTGAGATCTTTGTAATAAATATAAAAACAATACTTTTCAAAACATGAGTTTAAAACAGTATTTGGAACCAGGCTTTCTGAAATGATCTATTTTTGGTGAATTTGTTCTAATATACTTTCTATTTAGACAAGGAAGCTATTAGACAAATGCTTGTCCTAGCACCATGTTACACTCAAAAGTATGATCTAGACTTTTAAAAAAAGAAAAAAGAAAAACATAGCTCACTGCTGTGGAGTCAGTTTCAACTTATAGTGACCCCTGTTTGGTTTCCAAGGCTATAAATCTTTACAGAAGCAAACTAACTCATATTTCTTCCATGGCACAGCTGGTGGAATCGAACCACTGACCTTTGGGTTAGCAGTCAAATGCCTTAACTGCTTCACCACCAGAGCTCCTCAACTAGAAACCCACAAACAATTTATTGCCCATCCCAAAGAGAAAAAGGGCTTGCCCCAGAATGTAAGTCAGTGCACCGCTTCCTTTCCTAAGAAAGTCTTGTTACAGGAAAAAAAGTACTAGGTAAACTTAACAGTACTTGCTTAGTGACATTGTTGATTTACATTCTGATGACAAGGTCCTTCTCATGGGCAAGCACTTTGAGTATTATTGTTCTAGCATTCACTTGAAAACAAAAGTGGAGTTTTGAAAGTCTAAGCAGAAAACAAGGAGCTGTTGTGGCATGGTGCCTAAGGCATTTGACTGCTAACCAGAATGCTGGTGGTTCAAACCCACCATCCCTTCCATGGAAGGAAGATGGGGCATTCTACTTCTGTAAAGATTTACCTCCTTGGAAACCCGATGATGGTTGCTATGAGTTGGAATCAACTAAATGGCAGTGAGTTTTTTGTTTTTGAGACAGAAAACAGTGATGGGGAATTCTTAGGAAATTATTTCCTGATTCATACAGTCAATCAAATCTGCTGAGCACCTCCTCAAAAGTAGCAACTTTTACTCTGCGAAAGATTGTTAAGGGGATGAGAATATTTATAAACCACATATTTGAAAAAGGATTAATATGTAAAATATAGAAAGAACACTCAAAACTCAACAGCAAAACAAACAATGAAACTAGAAAGTGGGCAAAAGACATGAACAGACATTTCATTGAGGAGGATATACGTATAGCAAAATAAGTGCTTGAAAAGATAGTCAATGTCATTAGTCATTAGAAATGCAAATTAAAAACAATAAGATATCGCTACGCACCATTAGAATTACTGAAATACAACAATGATAGCTCAATTGTTGGTGAGGATGTGAAGAAACGAGATCACTCATACGTTGCTGGTGGGAATGTAACATGTTATAGTCACTCTGGAATATAGTTTGGCCATTTCTTTACAAAGAAAAACTACACATACAACCACCATATTACCCAGCAGTTAGACTCTTAGGCATTTATCCCAGAGAAATAAAAACTTATGTTCACAAAAAATCCTGTACATAAATGTTGATAACAACAACTTTATTATAGCTAAAATCTGGAATCACTCCAGATGTCTTCATTGGTTAATGGTTAAGCATTAAGCAAACTTGTTAAGGAAACATCCATTCCGTAAAATATTACTCCTCAGTATAAAGAGATGAACTATTGATATACACAACCGCCTAGAGAAATTTCTAGGGAATTATGTTGAGTGAAAAAAAGCCAGATTAAGTACTACATGGTACCATTTATATAATACTCTTAACATAATTTATATAATTTGTATAACAAATTAGTGGTTATCAGGGATTAGAGAAGGAAAAAGGGGTGGTTGTGACTAAAGGGGTAAAATAAGGGAGCCTTGTGGTGATGTTACAGTGCTTTTTTTTTATTATTGTGGTAGTAGTAACATGAAACTACATATGTGATAAAATTGCATTGAGCTACACACACAAACACATAAATTTGAGTATGTGTATAACTGATAAAACTTGAATAAACTGTGGATTATACCAATATCCATTTCCTGAGTTTGATACTGTCCTGTAGTTATGCAGCATGTTATTGAGGGAGGTAGGCTGATGGGAGCACTGGATCTTCTTATGCATTTCTAAACAAACTCCTGTGACTCATTTTTCAAATAAAAGTTAGGGGAAAAAAAACCCTCCTATGTACCTTCTGTGTGCCAGGAATAGAACTTGGTCCCTGGAGATTAGATTATAAGCAAACAGATAGAGCCTCTGCCTTATAGGACTAATGGCCTTGGTTCATTTACTAAGAAAACTAACATGTTACAGGGTCCTTTTGGGATTGATCTTAATCTTGGTGGTAGGGAAAAGAATTCAAACAAAAATGGGAAGGGTGAGGAGACATTAGCAATATGAAGAAGTATGGGAAGGACTTTCTAGAGAGGGGAGCTGTAAATAACCGGGCACCTCAGGCCCAGTACTAGCACCATTAAATAAAATGTTTTTTGTCGGGCAAAAACTGAAGGTTGATTGGATTTGTTCAAGAGTGGTGATGGTACTAGTGTAATGATAGCATTATCCATGTGTAGGTTGGTGCTGCCTTGCCCTTGGACATCCTGACATATGAAGAGAAGACCTTGTTAGCCATCTTGAGAATATGTAGCAGGTACAGTAAAACAATCTAGTACAACAAGGCAGAAAGAGATGCGAAAATAGAGCAAAAATATCTTCTTAGAATGAAAAGAATTTTGTCATTGTGAACTCTGAGCAGCTTTAAGATATTTAAATGGGAGGAAATGAGTATCACCCACTAAGAGTTTATACTCTAAAGAGGGCAGAACTTGTGATTTGGTTACATCTGTAGAGTTTTCTAAGAAGCTCTATTGATGCAGTGATTAAGTGGTTGGCTGCTAACTAAACGGTTGGAGGTTCCAACCCATGCAGCAACTCTGGGAGAAATACCTGATGATTTGTTTCCATAAAGATTATGCCAAGAAAGCCCTATGGGACAAATCTATCACACAGGGTTGATGGTTATGGTTGGAAACTCAGAAATGTATATTTTAAAAACATTCCTAACTGAGGTTCATTTTAATCTCTGCCTTTGATATACTACGATCTCTGGTGGCATAGTGCCTAAGGCATTTGACTGCTAACCAAAGGCTGGTGATTCAAACCCACCAGGTACTCCTTGGAAGGAAGATTGGGCAATCTACTTCCATAGAAATACTGCCTCAGAAACCCAAGGATGGGTCACTATGAGTCAGATCTGACTCAATGGCAGTCAGGTTTTTTTGTTTGTTTGTTTTTGGTTTGCTGCACTGTGCATTTGCTTTTAAGACTTTCTTATATAAATTGGATTTTCTGCTAAAAAGCAGTCATTTTCTGGACCATCGCGAACAAAAGTATCACATGTTGCAGAGATAAATCTTTATTTAACTTTATGCTTTCCTGGTCTTTCCACAGTGGTCTTGTCAAATTGTGGAGTTCTTTGACCCTGTTAGGATCCTATCAAGGCAAAAAATGTGCTTTCAGAGTGATTCAGGTAAAAACTCTTCCTTTGTGTATTCCAAACAAGGCTGAGATTAGCTGGTTTTTAATATGTGTCCCATTTGTATTTGCTTGCATAAATCTAGTATGTGTAACATCATCCAGCTAGGGGGAATAAATCCAGGATTTCATTGCTTCTAAGAATATGAGACAATGTATTTAGATTTTAAATTGTATGAGAAAAGTTTGGGGATACAACATGGGGCTCTTACTATAATACATCTTAACTTTTCATTTAGTGCCTAAAGCCTAGTGTAGTGCCTGATGTATTGGAATGCTTTTTCTGAGCTTAACATGATCACTTATTTATCTAAGGTTTCCTCCAGGGATGCTCTGTCAAATGGTACTACTGTGTCAGCTTGGTTCATCCTGTAAAAACTGGGCATGTTTCTCCTACTCATCTACCCATTGCTCTATGTCAGTACAGTTTTCCCCCAATACTGCATTAACTTTTTTCCTTGTCTTGTAGGTTTCTCCATTTCTTCTTGCATTATCTGGTAATAGTAGGGAACTAGTGTTGGACTGAATGGTCTTCAATTTTGGAAGTATTCATCTACTCCTAAAATGATTTTTGGTGCCAGCATAATGTTTGCAGACTGAAGCAGGCCAAAAGCCCCTGCTTATGGAATTGTGGGTGCTGAAGATGTTCTCAGTAATCTCTAGCCATCACCTCTGGAGGGGTGGGCTTCAGAAGAGAATCTGCCTGAACCAGCCAGTGTTGAGAAGGCAACACTTTCAGCATGTGCACGTCAGAGTTGGGGACCGGGCTGGACTCAGCAGGGCCTTCACACAGAGGGACGTGGCTCTCTTCGCAGAATTAACAGGGGATGTCAATCCTTTGCACTTAAATGAAGATTTTGCAAAACAAACCAAGTTTGGGAAGACAATTGTGCATGGAGTTTTGATCAATGGGCTTATTTCCGCTCTCTTGGGTACTAAAATGCCAGGACCAGGCTGTGTATTTCTTTCCCAGGAAATTAACTTCCCATCCCCTTTATATGTTGGGGAAGTTGTGACAGCGGTTGCAGAAGTGAAAAAGCTGAAGCAGTTCATTGCTCTTATTGCAGTGTCATGTTCTGTAATAGAAAGTAAAAAAACTGTTATGGAAGGCTGGGTTAAAGTTACGGTCCCAGAAGCACCCAAACCCTGAAGTATGTGTCTAAAGATGCACAGGCATCAATGCTGTTGTTACTACAGAGCCCATAGGGACAACAGGGACTGCTTCTCTTTATCAAGAAATGACTCATAGGCCCAGAAGTCTGTATTATGGGGCAGGAGAGTAGGTAGGAGAATGTTCAAATGTCCATGTCAGTTTGGCCTTAACGCTTCTCACCGACTTGAGTATACCCATGATTCTATCATTTGGGTTTTTAAAATTCAAAAATTTAGAGAACATCCTTTAGCCAAAGGTTCTACTTTAAGAATTTCAAACCTAGTTTAATTTGCATTTGGATAGCCAACTTAGTTACACCTATGTAGAATAAATTTCTTATTGAATTTATAACTAACAATTTTTGGAACTTTGAATCGAAGCTGGATCATCTTTGAACACCTACCCTTTACCAGTAAATATTCTTAGGACATGTTTTTCAGCAGTTTTTGGGTCAGGGTTTATTGTAATTTGTTACTCTTCAATCCAAGATAGTGTCCTGCTCAACCTTCAGTGGGACTTGCCTTTCAGGTGATTTTTCTGTTAGTGGAGAAGGCTTATGTGCAGACTAGGACTCAGTTGTGTAACACTCTCTGGCTCATCTTAAAAATGGGGATAGTAACACCAACTATTACTGATTGTTGTTGGAGGTGATGAAAAAGCTAAGCACAGGCATGGCCTTTAAAGGGTAGGTACTATTATCCTTTCCTTCTGTGACTGAGATGGGAGTTTTCTTGAATTTAAAGCCCACATTTAAACAAATGAATCAGTCTTTCAAGGTCTTTAATGATTGGTATTGCAAACCTGAGATTGATTTTGAATGCAGAGTTTCTATTTAATACTCTGGATTCTTACTGCCCTCCCTTAAAATAGTACTTTCCCTTCCCTCATTGTATAAATAAGATGTGCTTATTATAAAAGACTTTAAGGAAGAAAAGTGTTAAGAAAGACTATGGAGGCCAAGTTTTAAGAGTTGGGGATATTGAAGGGAAAATGTGCCTGATGTGTTAGTACTAAATGATCATCTACAAAACAGCCAACACCTTTAAGACAAGAATTTCTAACATATTCATGTGGCCCACTTGTGCTCTGGGTTTAGATGGTGGCCCTGACCAGAGACAGCTATATATTTTGATCAGGAAGATAAGATCAAGTGTAACTGGGTCAATGCACATTTGGGGGGTGGTATGTTTTTCATGCTGATTGTGGATCAGTAAGTTGATTTAAACTTTGTTATGTTTTGCATGAGAAGCACTTGAATTGATTACTACAAAATTATTTTCAACACTAGAGGGCAGTGATATGCATAAAGTGCTTTAAAACTGTTTAATGTCCTGGTGCCTAAGGCATTTGACTGCTAACCAAAAGGTTGGCGGTTCAAACCCAGCAGCTGCTTCACAGAGGAACAATGGAGCAATCTACTTCCATAAAGATATATTGCCTCGGAAACCCAAAGGGGGCCTCTTTGAGTCAGAATCAACTTGGCAATGAGTTTGGTTTTGTTTTTTGGTAGTTTGTGAAGGTGGGAAGAAAATACCAAATCAATGTAAGAAACAAGGATACTCTTCGATGGGTCTCAGAATGGGCAGGCAATGTGCAGGCTCAGAGCCATGTGAAGAAGGCATATTTGTAAGTGAAACACTAGACATGCCAAAAATTTGATGTAAGGTTAACGTTGAAAAATGAAATGGAATTTGCCCAAAATGTGTAGACTTGAAGCCAAGACTGCCTGTTCCTGCAGAACCCATTACCTGGAACTTAGCAGCAGTGTATGGAGCTCTTGTGGTATAGCTCCGAAAGGTTGGTGATTCAAACCCACCAGCTGCTCTGCAGAAGAAAGATGAGGCAGTCTGCTTCTGTAAAGATTTATAGCGTTGGAAAGCCAATTGGGGTTGCTGTACATTGGAGTTGACTTGATGGCAGTGAGTTTGGTTTTTGTTTTGGAGCAGCAGTCTAGAAGTGTGGGTCTGTAAATGGAGTATGATTTGACCATTGACATGCATTGTTTTTGTTGTGGAGTCGGACCCGACTCACAGCGACCCCTCCTGGGGTTTCTGAGGCAGTATCACTATGGAAGTAGATTGCCCCATCTTCCTTCCGAGGAGTGGCTGGTGGGTTTGAACCGCCAGCCTTCATAGCTACCATATTTTGAAAGCCTTATGAGCCAGACTCACTTTCTACATTAATCCTTGAAACAACTTTGCAAAGTTAAGTAGTAGTGCCCCATTTTATAGGCAAAGAAACAGATTAATGCCTTGTGACATAACCAGTGTTAGACACACTAGCTAGTACACAGTAGAGCTGGGATTCAAACTTGGGCTTGCCTGGCTCTAAAACATTTCCTTTTCCATCACCTTATAAGTTTGAGAAGACCTAGGTGGTCCAAATGGTTAAGTGCTTGACGACTAACCCAAAGGTTGGTGGTTTGAACCCACCCAGAGACACTTAAGAAGAAAAGTCTGATGATCTGTTTCTGAAAAGACAGCTTTGAAAACCCTGTGGAGCACAGTTACGTGTAATGTGGGGTTGCCGTGAGTCAGATTCTACTTGATGGCAACAGGTTTGGTTTTGGTTTTATGGATCTTATTCCCATTACTAGAGTCCTATAGTTTTTATAATGTTATGTGACATTACTTGGCACCATCATTCTGTATTACTCTTTTTATATTCAGAATGTTCTTGATCTTACTCCTGCTGCATTTGTAGCATGTTCATATATACTGTTACTTGATGGCTTCCAACTATACCTGTCACCTCTGTATTTCTAAGTTGACATTCAATGATTATTTGTCTTCAGAGTAGCTAAAGGGTTTACTCTGAAGATGAAATATTACGTGCAGGCCAAATTTGAGAGGAAGTGTCAGATCTGGTTGATAGCTGATTTATATTGTATAAGTTCCAAAAATAGCTTCTAATATCAGCACTTCCACTTTGTTAAGCTCCTAGGTGTCCTGGTCTTTGATCTCTGTAAATCAATAGAAAATTAGAATAGAGAAATAAGAAGTTACTGACACTTCTTTGTAAATGATGACTTGTCATTTTTACCCAGAGCCACTATACTCAAACTTCATGCTTTGTTAAAGCCATTGCAGGGAAAACTGGCAGTTGTCTTTGTCCTTTTGAGCCCTATACAAGCTGCGGGAAAGAATGACTCTTTCCTAATGAAAGTGTGAGTGACCCTGAAATTAGGAAATCCTCTCCCAGATCACTGAAGGGGAGTCTTGACTGTTCTGTATCTCAGAAAAATTACCAAAATAGCAGGCCAAATTGTTCTAGCACTTTCCACAGGAGGGCTTTATAAGACTGCAGTTTATGCAATGTTTGATTACCACAGAAAGAAATACCTATCTTAAGCAATTTCAGCCTAATGTACTGGAGAATTGCTTAACAGATTTTATATTTTATTAGGAACATTTGCCATGTTGGTGAAATGCCATTCATTTCTTTTTCTAAGCAAATCTTAAGTAGCAAGGAGAGAAACTTCAGTACAGGACCATTCATTTTGTAGCTCTGACTTGTATATTAATCTAGAAGAAATTTCTAAATGCACATTGGTACCTCTTAGGTAACCACAGGTTTTCATTTTGTGCTGAATTATAAGTCATTTTTCTTTTATGTTCTTTGAGTATGAGTCAGAGACCAATTTACTCCCAAAGAAAATTGCTATTGTATCTGTTTTTATATTAAAACATACCCTACCAAAGGCTGACTGTCACTCTGAGCTGCTATGCCGCTCTGAATGCCTCACATGTTGGCATAATTTATCAACTAGCTTTATCTGAGCAGAATGGGAGCTCTCTGAATTACTCTTGGACTGCACTTGAGTATCTCCATCCTCCCAAATGTTTCACTTTCTTTGTTCTTTTCTTTGCCTTCATTTGGATTGCAAACAGCAGAGATGAATTCTCAGCATCTTCAGAGAGATTTTGCTTCAGAGCAAAATTACCAGTTAGAAGAAGCTATTTAAATTCAAAATTATAATGTTAATACTGTATGAATAGAACAGGGCTAACAGGCCCCACAAACAGTTCACTTCAGGATGACTCTTAGACATAAATGCAAGTCAGATGACCATCATAAATGCCGGGCAAAATTTCCATGTGATGTGATGAAAAATATCAACACGAAGAAAAATAAAAATGATTAAATGTGAGTTGAATTTTGTTACTTTATATCCAGCTCTTGCGTATGTAAAGAAAATCATTTTGTGTTGGAAGGCCAAGCTGCTTGGGAAACACCGAGTTTTTTGCAAGCTTCTATGATGTGATTTGTATAACAGTTGCCAGGGCTAAAAGCAACCTCACTGAAACTGATTATCTTCATTCAATCTGGCCCAAAGTCAAGTTGTTAGATAAAAAAATATGTAGTCCGTCAAA